ACATAATCAAAGATCGCGTAAAATTCAATTAAATTTAATAATGAAATAAAATTTAATCAAAATCAATTTAAAGCGTGGGGATCTGTTTTCAAAATCAGCTTTTGCTTGATTGAGATTTCATGATTTTTTTCATTATATTTCTTGCCTTAAAATATAATAATGTTTCAGTATAGATTTATAGTGGCTTTCCCGTCTTGTAAATGTTAAATTTTTTTTGTTAAAGCATATTTTACTAAAAACTAATTAAGAAATACATATAAACAATTGCATTGTACGTTATAATACTGTGATAAGGTAAAGAGAGAAAGAGAGGGACGAATGTAATCATTAAACTAATCAGTTAATTGATTTGCTTATTAATATACGCGATTGTTCATTTATGTAAGGCATACCGTTTAGCTGTTAATTTATAATTGTTTACGCGCATGGAGAGGAGTAAATTGCAATCATCGTTTAATTCACCGCTCAATTTAGAACAGCGATATACAGAATGACAGTTAGGAAAATGTAATGATAGTGCCGCGCTATATGAGAACGAATTTGAATAGTAATCAGGACAATGTATCGACTGAAGCGATTACGGCAATGACGATGCTGATACATTCGCGACATATGCCATTAGTCAATTACCATGTCGTTTTAATATAATTCGTGACATTGGCGCAATTGGGAAGAACGCGCCGCGAGTAGATAAACATCTAATTACTATCATGGATGTAATTATGAGGATCACAACGCACTTTCGATTTCGTTGCCTGCGCGTTATTCACGTCGCTTTGCTTAATAGCCGGAACAATCCAGTCGCAGTAAATGTCAATCGTTACCGTTTCAGTGAAGTCATTTCAATGAATTGCCAGGGTACGACAATGTTTTGCGGCAATGATCGATATGTTACATATGTACGTGAAACATCGTCGTTTTAACAATTTGGTCAACTTCAATTACGAGTGACCAATGTAAAATATTATATACAATATATATACGTATGTCTCGAATGTTTTCACTCGTTGCTCGTAATTGAAGTTGACCAAATTGTTACGCTTCTCAAGTGTGTGTATATCACTGTAAATAATAAAATGTTTAAAATATTAAAATTAACACAAAAATGTTAAATAAATAAATTTAAGAATACAATTGAGCTTTCGAGATTAAACAATAAAATATATAATCAAAGACAGGCGATTGAGAGCAAAAATTAAGATGCAGTTATTAAAGCGTTAAACGTTAACAATGTATTTCAAAGACCTTACAACTATACGATGACAAAAATGTTAATTTTAACATTTTTGTATGTCTCAGAAAGTCCACTATACGTCTTTAAGTTAAAATGAACATTTTATTTTTTACGTACTTATATATACAAGGTGGTCCTTAAATATTCTAAAAGATTTTAAGGAGTGATTTCTCATATCGATCTAAGATGAAAACGTATGTCCAAACCAGCTTAGTTTACAAAAATCAGGATATCAAAGAGTTGAAGGAAAAATTTTATTTAAAAAAAGAATATATGTCTTCAAAAAAATGAGTCTTCATACAATGATATTTATACATACAAAGTTTCATCAAAATAATCTGAACAGTTTTAGAAATTTTTGAAAACGTTCAAATTAATGTGAGAGAATCATCTCTTAAAATCTTCTAGAATACTTAAGGATCATCCTGCATGTATTTAAGAAGCGTAAGAATGTAAGAAAATTGGAAAGTCGTGTGACAAAACTTTTTTCGATACTTTGGCTTTAAAAAAGATCAACTTCGAAATTATTAAAAATTTATTAAAGTTACATTAAAGATTAGCAGTTAATCCGACAGATGTAGATCGGTCCCTCCGTTCTGTAAATAAGTTTAGTTGGAAACGTAATGGATGTTTCTAAATGCCGGTATTAAAGTGCTATCTCTAGTGAAATATTTCCAACATCGTGCGATGATCCTGCGAAATGTGGTACGCCTATATGCATCGCTTATGGTCGCTGCACATTGCGCATATAGATTGTACACGTGCTCGCCGTCTCGTCTCCGTATATTTCCCTTCATAACGTTAAGTGCGTCCTCAACTATGTAATGAGCCGTAATATTGCGTATTTCCACGGCGTATCCGTATATTTCGAGTCGTCACGAATGATCATCGAATCCGTTTGAGCTACCAAGCCAGCAAGTGGAATCGTAATCAAATCATTCAAATTTCGATTAGTCAAGTCTTGTATTCGCAGATACAATAATCGTGACTAAATTAAATATGTGGAAAGTGCATTAGTAAACATAGCAACACGGAAAAAAAAAATAAATTGAGTGGTACAGCAAATCTATAACTTACTGCGCGAATTCAATATCTGTAACTAAGAAGATTTGATAGTTTAACAAATCACTAATGTTATTCAGCTGTCAACTTTGCTACTTTAACATAGAAAATTGACTGTCTGTATATTACGACTAGATTTGCTGAATCGGTGAAGTTTTCAGTTGTATTTTTTTCCCGTGAAACAATTTTGCTAAAATATTCAAAAATTTTAGTAGATACAGATCTGAAAATAATTGTCGAAATCACAATAATTATTTAAAATGCTTTGATGACAATGCTGCGAAAAGCTTTAATATTCTAACAAGCAGTTTAAGCGTCACATAGTTATTTTGATGATTCGAAAATTAATTTCAAATCTGTATCCAACTAAAAATTTTAGATTCTTAGAATAAAACTTGTTCTTTCTGTGTAGTAAAGTACATACGTACTGTAAGACATGAAGAATAATGCGTGATAAATTAAAATAGGACTCGGGAAATTTTTATGTTCTATGTTCTATACATAAGGAACATGGTAACATCTAGCGTAAAACACTGATCGCACTTTATCCTGGTCAATTCACTTAGATCAAACATTTCTGCAGATTAAACATTGCACAGGTTGGAGTTTATGTCTTGGGGTCCAGTGAAGTGGTTGCAACTTACATTTGTCAAAGCCTCGACTTAGTCCATTAAACGTGTTCAGATAAAAGTGCCAAGTCCGTGATAAATGATCCTAAATTCAATGGTATTGTGCACTATTTGTTACTCGCTGTGGAAGTTTCTAAAGGAAACACTTTGGCTTCTTTGTAATTTCGTATTACTCGTATCAGCCTTTTTATTGCTTCGCAATGCTCGTACTCATTACCCAAGCTACTTAATCACTTCTTAAATACTATACAGAAATTCACTGAGTTCAAGAGGCTTAACGGCATATATCAATTTTGTGTAACACACTTTCATATGAAGTGTGTCACATGAAATTATATTATAATTTTCTTTAAAGAAAAATAAAAATATTGCCCAGAAATTTTCAAGTTCGCTATTTTTATATTTCTTTATCTTATAAGGAAATAAAATGTAAATGTAATTATAACGTAATACACTAGTAAAAAAATTTATGATTTTTATAATAATACAATTAAAATTTTTCGTGGAGTGTTTCGAACATCCCATCTATTAACTTGCGTATTTTTTATTTTTAAAACCGTTTTCACAATAATATAAGGTTACCTAAAGATTAAAGGTTACCAAGAGATTCATCAGTGAAATTCATTCATGAATTTCTTGGTAACCTTTAATCTTTAGGTAACCTTATATTGTGAAAACGAGCTTTAAAAGTAAAAAATATGCAAGTAACAAGTTGAGTTCAGAACGCTCCAAGAACAGTTTTAATTTTATAGTTACATTTTTTACTAGTATACTATATTACAGTTAAATTTACATTAATTACATCGTATGAAGTAAAGGAATGTAAAAATAATGAACTAAAACTTTTGGGCATCTGGATAATACTATTTCTTTTCCTTTTTTAGGTTTTAAAGAACACTATACCTTTAAGTGCTGTACCCCACCTAAAGGTTAAGCGATCAATACAAAACTTGAAAATGTAATAAGTTTTTAATATCGTTGGTATAGTGCAGTACACACGCGTACAGTGTGTAAAACAATATTTGCGCATCCTATCTTGTTTGAAAAAATTTTATACCAACAGGAAAGTAATATCATAATGTATTTTTATTACATTATGTTTTACTTACAAGGAAAGAGACGCAACTGTCCCCCTCTGATTTTAATGAGTTTTTAATATGTTATTCTCCAGACAAAAATAAGAGACACGTATTTTTTTATACGTGCCCATACGCACTTTTAGGGGGTGAAATACCCTTTTATAAAATTTTTTCAAAAAAAGAAACGAGATGATCAAATGCTTTTTTTATCCATTGTATACTCACGTATAGACTTGGATATAATATATATAAGTTATATTGTATATAGGACCGTAGCATTCTATATAAGTGAACTATATAATGTTTCGCCATATCAGTAAAAGCAGGAAATTGGAAAGTCAAGCTTTCGCTTGTTTGTTCGATCCTTCTTCATTATCGCGCTATCCTATCCTGACAATATCTTAGATGCCTATTTCAAAAAGCTTTACGCGCCAGAGTCTCATTTATCATTCCCGTCATTAATACGTACGTGTCAAATTTGTCGACTAAATCTAATTACCAGATAAATTTATCAAATATATCTCAGAATTCTTGTTTAAAAATCGCTAAAAATATTTACGTTCTTTAAATAAACTTGATAATTAGAATCTTTAAAATAATCTCCAGACGCGGAGAGTTTCAATTTTGTCAGTTTTTATCTTTCATATCATGTCTTTTCACGTGAAACAAAAATCCGTGAGTACAAAGTGTCCCCGCTTTCTATCTCGCATACTTTTCTTCCTATTTCACTCGAAAGCATTCCACGCAAAGATAAAACTACTTCGTAAAAATAGACTTGTCGTCGACAGACATTTATTTCTACAGTCGCGACAGTTCCGTTTGTACAAGAGATTCTACTTCGTGCAGCGGACGGAAGCTGACGCGAAAAGCCGAGGGCAGGAAATTCGATAGGGAAGGCCTCTTCCTCTTACCCTTTTCGCTTTCCACCCCCGCATCTTGCGTATCGCGTCCCTTCGCTTGCTTCTTTTAACCCGGTGCTGCTGATTTAATTTCCAGGTACCTTGGCGGAGAGGCCAAACTACATGCAGTTCGCTGGCACCGTGCACGTAATGAAGGCCGTCGCCTCGGACATGGTGTTGACTTTCTGCTCCCGGAGTCCCAACCATCAGCTCTATTCCCTCCTATTGTCACGCGAGCACACTCTGCAGAAGAGCGACAAACGAGGCGTTCATAATCTCCTGGCACGCCGCGGCCTGAAGATCATCGGCATTCGCGAGACTTGCGTGAACGGTGGCGCCAGATCAAGACGGAGCGCACTCGATGTCGTCGCCTGGGTGACCCTCGTCGGCCTGCTCTCGTCGAGCGTCCTCTTCAGATCCTGGCAGTAGTGAAATCAGACGGACGATCGATCGCGATCTCGAGACGCTCAGATCATCGGATCGCGCCCGACTGTGTCTCGGACTAATTAATGCGATTATACTAACACTTTGGATGCTGCCGCGCGAATAATCTCACAATCAGAACATTACGCCGAGTTAAGGAAATCCGTCGACTGCACTCGACGTACACGTGTTACGTTAGTTATGTATCTAACAATAAGATGTCTTCGCGCCGAATTAAATAATAATTTTCCCGTCGCGATATTCTGCGTAATTTAAGTTCTTGCATGGAACAATTTTTAATTACGAATCCTTCTTTCGAAAAATTTATATTATGATTTATTACTATAAACTGTTTTTATTAACTATTTTAAATTATTATTAAATAAAAAAAACAAATATTGTCTATGTGGTTACCAATCGTTACACATATTAACTTTTAAACGCCACACTACGGAAACAACACACTGATCAGTACAGGCATACTCAACTCAAATCGATTGTTTGTAACTTTCATAAAAATTGACATATTGTGAAATTTTTTTTCAATTAAATTAAAATGCCAGACATTAAGGATATAACGATAACCAAACAAATGTTTGTTTGTATCTTATTAATGAAAAAGTTAAAAGCAATGAAAAAAAGCATTGGAAAAATAAAACCGGTAATAACGAAAAAGCGTTTAAGGATTAATATTAATAAAACGTATTCAGTAGTGCAGTTTTTAAAATTTAAAATTAATCTCACACGAAGCAATTAAAAAATTCTATTTATTGAGAATTATTTTTTTCATCAGTCTAACGTACTTTCGGTACCAATCGATACACGAACTAATTTTAATCGAAACGAGAGAGTCGCATCCAAAGGGTTAAAATTACTATACTGCACGGCGACGGACGTTCGGTCATTGACATCGAAGATTTCTGTCGTAATTAACTTAATGTCATCGTGGATACTCGATCAACATCAATAGAAGGCAGAATCGCGGCGTTTCCGGTCTCAGGTAAATCGCACAGAAAGAACACACACTACGTCAATTTGTGAACCACGGGATTTGTGATTCGACGGCTTTTAAAGGGATCAGATCGTGAGAGAAGCGCAATGAGATCGAGAGCAAGAGAAACATCGATATCATCTGCGATTCCCGCGGAAGCTTCTTCTATTCCCTTATAAATTCCTCGGGTCGTCGGCCACACGAATATTTTTCAGCGACGTCTGCTGTCGTTCGTTCCTTCGCCTTCGTCGAGAATGAATTACCCATTAGGAGATTTCTCTCTCCCGTGGACCCTCACTCGTGGACATCTCGCTCCGCAAGGTTTTTAATCAAAAGTCTTTGTAATGAGCGCAAAAAATTTGCCGCGAACAAAACGCGTGTGTAACAGAGTTCATTTTTTCCCATATTTTCTTGAATTATATACCCAACACGTATTCCCTCTCGCAACAATTCGCTAAATGAGATGATTTCACATCCGTTTTCATTAAAAAGTCTGTTTCAAATAGTTCTACTTAAAATAACTGTATTAGACATTTATAGTTATATTAACAATAATTACATTTTGTGTGTCCAATAATTATTGTGTGTTCGACAAAAAAATCATTTCTTTTCTTTCTGAAGTTCCATAGTACTCCGAAGATTTTTTCGCTAAACATGATATTGTTATCAGAATTTGCGTAGCATATCAAAATTTTTAATAAATTGAGGAGAAATAAGCGAAAAATCATCTCAATTTACTGTCACACTCCAATTTATTAAAAATCTTGATGTGCTATGCAAATTCTGACAACGATATCGTATTCAGCATAAAAAAATCTTCGAGGTATGTATTATGGCACTTCAAAAAAAGAAAAAAATGATTTTTTGTTAAACTGAATAATTATACAGAAAGTCTAATATTCAAACAGATATATTTTGATGAAAATAAGTATGATTATATCTAACAATGAACTAAAAATCATTTGAAAACTGTTGAATTATTGTTTTAGATGCCATAGTAGTAGTAGAGTTTCGTTTTACCGATAAAAAACGTTGAAAATGGCCAAAAATGTTATTTTTTGTCCATTTCATCTCAATTTACTCAAAATTCTGATGAGCAATACAAATTCCGCCAACGGCGGAATCGTGTTCAGCGCGAAAAAATCTTCGGCAAAAGTATTTACTAGGACACTACGAAAAGAGTTTGTGTGTCAAACAGTGCTTTATTTACAATTATTACTTTTCAAATCGTAATATTACTTTTTATGACGCGGATTTAAGTTTCTACGAATAGATTTGGCGTAAGAGCCAGGAGAAAAAGAGTACTTCCGCAGTTTCAGTAAAGTTGTTAAGATCACTTTGCGTCCATTGCAAAAATAAGTGTCTCTCCTGCCCTTTCTTTAATAGCGCCCTTTCTTTAACATCCCAACGAAATCTAACACACAAAAAGATAAAGAATGACGGGACATCAGAATCTCTCTCGTGCGAGAACCAAGCCTAGGATTTTCCGCAAATACTTTTCCGATAGCTGAGGGACGCGCATCCGTTTGACACACTCTTTGGCATCTCTTTGACCACATTGAGAGATGTTCGAGCACGATACTAACGTTCTCTTTCCACCTTTCCATTCCCTTTCACCATATACTTGTCCGTCAGAAAAGTTTCCTCGAATTGCCTTATCGCGAGGAACATCTCGATGCCCTGAGTCGCGTTTCGTCGATAAAAGAGCGCGGATTACGGGGGAGAGAAATGGGAATGCGGGACCAGTGGGTGTCTGCATTCTTATGTGTCTCCGTCAAATAGACGAAGAGATAGAGAGAAGGAAAGAAAGGGAGAGAAGACGAGCAGAATGAGGTACTCTCTCGACGATTTCCACTGATGCAGCAACCTCATGCAGATTGCAGAACTGTCTGAACGGCGATAATGCCGTGCTGTGGGAAGAAGTCCCCCGGGTTTTGCTCTTGCCTCTTCCGGAGCTTTCCGTATACGGGGTGCTCTCAATACAAAGCTAATGCTGATCATGGTGAGCATGTATTAAGAAAAAAATATTGTTCATTTGATTAAATTAATTTAGTCCGTCTTTATTTCTTTCGCGTTGAAGAATGCATGTGTTTAAGTCAAATACGTTTGACTTAAATATATATTTCATAAAATAAAAAAAAAAAAAAGACGAACTAAATTAATTTAAACAAATGAACAATTTTTTTTCTCAATGTACACTGAGGTCTCTGTGATCCAGTCCTGTTTACGTCTTAAAAAGTAACAATAGGTTTGTTCGCGTTGCTTGTAATCTTCATAAATTTTTGCATTTAAAACGAAATAAATGTATATTCAAATGTTAAAAAGAGGGAAAACGAAGGTGCTGAGTGCAAAAAGTTCAAGTAACGCGAACAGATCTAAAGATTTGCGACAGCAGACAAAACAGTTCAGTGAGCGCTCAGTAATTATTAATTTAATGTACTCTTTGTAGGCACGCTGGGTTTTTTATCCAGGCGAAATTTCACTCTCAAATTTGTTTGCATAATTTTGAATTTTTATTGAATAAAGGTTTTAACATTTGAGTTAAATAACTGTTTGGCAATGTAGCAGAAAAATGTAGCAAAAATAATCCTGAATTTTTCTAAATTTTTCAAAATCTAGAACAGTAAAAAACATTGGAGCTGAACAAAAACAGACTCAAAATGCTTACGAAGTAAAAATACGTGTGTCTACAAAAGGTTCATATAATTGGGTGTCACCTTTAATTCTGTTGGATCTAAATGTAGAAGCCAATCGTAATAAACAATAACTCAACATTCACTGATCTATTTTGTGTGCTAAACTCAATTAATGAGACGCTGCGGCTTACAATAAAAGTTGCCTATGTGCCTATTTGAGTGACAATTGAGCTATCACAATCCTTTTTTTCATCTATCATCTATCATAATTCTTTTTTAATGTTTTCTTTCATAAATAAAGAATAAATCTCTCATAAGAATTTTAATCTTTTCTTTATCATATGATGCAAACAAGTTACAGATACATTTACATTTGTTTTACTATTAGTGTAATCCCGATACGTAATAGACTTTTTCACAGAGTTGGGTAAGTATTGTAAAAATCTAAAAACCTATGAAGTCTTTTTCAATAAGACACCCTATATCATCCAGTTCGAGTCACGTATAATTCGCGAATGTCGCGACGTCGTCGCGACGTCGGCGTCGTTCTATTTCGTTCTTCGCGTAACGAAATCAAAACCTCCGTACTCGCGCTTGGAATTTTCAAACAACTACGCAAATAGGTAATCGCACATTTTTCAAGATACCATCAACAATAGATTTATCAGCCTGATTCGCGCCGAAAGAGATGATTCCACACAAATCGAGTCTTTTAAATGCTTATCGAATTATCCCGTTTTCGGGATAGAAAAAATATATGAAGACCAGCAATAGCTTTGACTGTCGAACTTTTATACATCTCAGTGTTTCTAATGTTTAAAGTGAAAGAAAAGATGCATCGCTTCTGAATTTTTACACGCGCGTTATCGAAAAAATCGATATCTGCACTTGAGACCGGTCCAACGTTGCGCGTATTTACGATAGGTAATTGTAATTTTGGCTAAAGTTCCGAAAAGGTTTTCGCCCCTACCGTCGAATTTGCCGACGACGTCTCTTACGGAAAAATGAAAAGCAAAATTTATCATTAATTTATATTGCCATGTTTTGCTCTCCATGATGTTGTCATTTAATTTGCAATCCTAAATATTGAATAAAATTTCAAGTACCTAATATATATATTTTATTATTCATTGTGCTAAACTTTAAAATAATTCAAGATAAATACACTTTTCGGAACTTCGCTCGTAATTTTAAGCGAAAGATTTAAGTGTTCAATTTAGATGAATCAGTACGACTGGAAGCCGCGTAAATAATTTTCTTTTTCAAAAAATTTTGTCACAATCTCTCTCAGAATTTTATTCTAGAAACGGATGGTATGTTTGATTAGTTGAATCAACATTCTTTCTCTGCACACTTCAAATGTTTTACAAAATAAAATACTGTTCGCAGTTAACCCTCCAGAAAGATCTGATTTATGCGGTTTCCAATCGTATGGATGCAAATAATCACGTCGTACGTACATGGATGATTCGTGTCTCTGAAAAAAGAAAAAAACGAATCGATCGTTGTTCTTCCGTATAAACTCGAGACATGGTAGACAGAAATACATGTCGTACATGTTTCCGGATGTTAGCGAATAAAATGACAATAGATGTCAGCGGTCAAGCTGATTCTACGAGA